AAAAAAAAAAAAAAAAAAAAAAAAAAAAAAAGGACAACAAAGACATCGAACGGGAAAATTCCCTGGTACGCATTACACGTATCATCCATAATAACAGAGTGTACTAATTAAATGAGAGGAACAAGGCCTTTGTTGTCTCAGGTGACTCTTGGGGAATGGCATAAAACCTCGTCACGCCTTTCTGTCCTGTACCCACAAGTGTGTGTATTACTGTATACAACGCGTATGGATGGGTACACCCCAAGGTGTCTGCTCCTCCACTTGCACACATGCAAACTTTTACATAATTCAAACTCCTTTTCAATTGACACATTTTAAACCACGTTTATTTTATCCAACCTTACACAAAATCACCCCTTATATATGAAGTCTCACCTTCCTTTTTTAACTTTTCTGTATTTGGCAATTTGATTTCATATAATTGCATGTTGTGCTCTTTGGTTAACTTTATTTATATATATATTTTTTTTATTTATGTTATTCATTTTTTTTTTTTTTTGTTAATCATGGAAGCGTCTTTTCTTACTCCTCCAAAGTGCACACATACATATTTTTTTTTTTTTAATTTTTTTCTTCATTCCTAATATAATAACCGCAATATGTACGCACACGCCTATATATGTTAACCATTTTAAATTATCTCTTTTAATGGCACATTTTGTAGTAGCATAAAAAAGGAACAAATCACAGGGTGTAAAAGGGAGTGGCTGGGTGCGGAACGGATGTATACAATTCGGGGACAGGTACTCCAAAAAAAGGAAGACAAAAAAAGGGGACCGTAAAGAGTCCCTGTCCCTTATTTATATGCGTAATGTGAATTAAGCTTCGTTTTTTTTTTTTTTTTTCATATTTTAAATAAATTTCCTTTTTTTCAATAAACCGAGCAGCTTTATAACCAGCTCATTATTTTCCAAGTCAGTATGTCTTACAATGCTTAACTATATATGCATGTAACGCCGTTTTTGTTCTTTATCACATGGAATAAAAATAATGCCAAAAAATATGCATGACGTACAAAATGCAAAAAAAAAAAAAAAAAAAAATTATTAAGCAAATTGCACAAGGGTGATGAAAACTTAAAAGTATAATTTCTTGTGCAAAAATGAAATGTCCTTGGAAACTTCACCCGTCTTTTTGTTAATTGGGTCTAAGAATCTGCAAAGAAGGGAAATAAAAAAAAAAAAGACGTCATTAGGGGTACATTCTTACATTGTATGTATTACCATCCGATGGGATGTGTAAAAAAAAAAAAAAAAAAAAAACAGCACACACACACACAATGCATGATTAAGCAAAATTGGGGGAGACTCCTCTGGTGAGAACACAACAATCGGGGCGGAGGGACGCAACATATGCAAACTTACTTATCTCTGAAAATTTTTCCCAACTTTTTAACTTCCTTCTTTTTATTCTTGGATCTTAAAAGTTCCTCCGATGCTAAACTTTTTATATCAAAGTCGTTGGCCACTTGGTATCTGCAGGGACGGCGTGCAAGAAGTTCGGTTTGAGTCAAATGAAAAGGAGTTTTCATGAAGCACGTACTTGCTAGCCACCGCTACGGGTTTATATATATGTAGCAGCCACTCCACGGACTCTACTACACATGGCCACTCCAACACACGCGCGTGTTTTCGCTACCCCTATCTGTGCTTACCTGGTTGGAAGAATGTGATTCACGTTAATGTACTTTACAAATGCCTTAACCTTTGATCTCTTCATAATTTTCCTCTTGGACATTTTTTTGGTAACCTTCAGTGGGTGCTTTTCTATACCCGCAACGAGGCAATAGTTGTAGGGTCTCTCCCTGGTTTGGCTTTCATACGTGTTTATAATTATTGCCTTTTTTCCAGCTCTACGTCCATTTAACATGATAACAACTTTACCTGGCTTCAGTCTGCAAAAGGGGAAGCAGCGCAGAGGGGGGAGGGTGATGAAACAGAACACATAAGAAAAGTGCGCAGGTGTGCCAAATGGTACCTATATATACCAGCTGCTTCACAAATAGGAGCTGGTACGCTCCCTCACTCAGATGCATGTAAGAGAAAAGCCCCCCTCTACAGGCAAAACTCCAAGCAGAGATGCGGAAAGCAAAAAGAGGCGTTCTTTGGGGTATTATATATACACTCGTTAAGCCACGTAACAATGACAAAACTGTGCCGTGGTATGGGGAGAAGTGGAGGGTTTGCAAACGGGGGCAAAAAATATAAATGAGGCATCAGTTATGGCACCATAACGAGCCCCCCTGAAAAAAGTATTTAGCCGCATGACCCTCTGTAGGTTTATTTTCCCATCCATCCTTCTCCCTCCCTTTTTCTTCCCGCAAACGACTGTGGGTCTCCTGTAGGGGGGAAGTTCATTTCTCATTTTTCCTCTCCTCTCTTTCACAAGATTTGCGGCAAAACTTACAATTTTCCCATTTTGAACAACAGGTCAGCGTAATACTACTTGGTGGGTATGTTATTCTTTTGTTTAAATTCAAAGGGGGGGGTATTTTTTATATAAATGCCCAAAAGGGTTGAGAAAAACTTTGCAAAAAGGAAAAACAAGCAAATGCATGAACGGCCTGTAACAACTCTTTCCTTTTATATATTTATAATTTTTTTTTTTTTTTTTTTTTTTTTTTTGCGATATGCTAAAAATAGCGAGCTATAATAAAAATTATAAAAAGCCAAACGGTTGTGTTTATAAGCCTTTCTGATTTTCAAAGCTCACGTGGTTTTCAAAAAAAAATTGCGCAATATTTTGCCCCTCATAAAGGTATAAATGTAAAATAAAAAAGGAAAAAAAAAAGGAAAAAAAGCGTGGAACGGATTAATACTACGTGGGAATAAAGTGAACAGAAAATAACGGAGCGGCCGTTCAAATGGATAAGGGGCAAAACTCCACGTGATGGGGATGAAGAAAAGATGTGAATAAAACGTAACGCACAAAATGGGAAACTGATGACATATATATGAATCCTCGTATGCGCATTTAGCGGCGTGGGGTTTCGTTTTTTACTTACATATATAATGAGACGTGAACATTTTTATGAGGATAGCCGTAGAAGATCCTCCCTCCCGCTGGCCGTGCCGTATGCCCTGAAGGCGCTCTGTACGTTTGAGGTAGAGTTGGGGGGATAAACCAACTTGTAGGCAGTAAAAAATGAGGGCAAAAAAAAAAAAAAAAAAGAGCAGCGGTGGCATACAACGTATATATATACATCCCGTATGTTATATACGTAAAGTGTACAATTATTTTTTTTGTGCGCATAAAAGGTGGGGGGAGCCCCAAATTTTAATTATATATATTAAAAAAAAATTAATTTGCATATTTTCCGGGGAAATAACATAATGGCCCTTGGTTAAATAATGCGTCAACGAAAAAATAATTTGTTTAAAAAAATCTCAACTTGTGGGGATGGCCACATTTTAAAAGCCTTTTTGAACGTACCATCTGGTCAAAATGTATGTTGAAAAAAATGGTCTCCATGAGGGGAGAGCAACTGCCTTGGAACAATTCCCCATGTGAAAGGACAGTGCCATTTTTATTACCACGTTTTCTTGTGTGCCCATTCGAATTGAACAAAAAAAAGAACACTTCTCGGGGATAATAATTTTGTTCTCCATATTTGTGCAGCTTTTCCATTTGGTAAAAAAAATTTCAAACGAGTAAAAAAAAAAAAAATTTTAAAGGACACGCGTGTGTTAAAAAATTCCCATATCATCAAGATGGGAATATACTCCTTGACAGTGACACTGTGATGCAGATTGGCCATGTTCCGTACGAAAGACGGGGGAGGCAATAAAAATATATATTTTTTTCTCTGTCCACATGTTAGTGCCGTGTGCTCATGGTGGACACTGATGCGATATATTCACGTATGCACAAATGGGGGGAACGGTCGGGGGTTACCCCACCCCTCTTTGCCCATGTTTACACCTCGTCTATGTACTCGAAATGCTTCATAATCGCGTCGACGGGATTACCGTCCCCATCCAGCAGAAACAAGTCAAAGCAACAGTTGCAAATGTAGGATGGGTTTTCCTTAAAGAGATAACAGTCCAGGACGATCTTCTGTGCAATATTTTTATGGCAGCACAAGCAAAACTTTTTTGCAATGTTCGGTTTGAAGGTCCTGAAGGGGTACTTGGAAAACTCCTTATCGCGCAAGCTATTATATTGTCTAATGTTATTAAAAATAATTCTGTGCTCACAATTGCCTTGATGTAGGAAGCAGCACTTTTGGTAGAGAGGTATTTCCATTTCAGCCAGGACAGCCTTATGTTGTAATATCTTATATGGGGGTCGAATAAAATTATTTTCTTTTTTTTTTTTGTAAAATTCAAATATGCATGCTGAGTAGTCTGTCGCGTTTGGCGACCTCAAGTCAGGGTAGAGCACTCCATCTATGTAGTACACGGATCCATTAAATTGGGGTAGGCCATAATTTGAAGAATCAAAACAAAAAAAAACATCTGTCAGGTCTGCCAAGGTTTGCCATGACAACAGTTCATACTCAGCTATTTTAATACCCCTTATTGGGTGGTAAAAGGAGACTGAAATGATGAACGTTTCTTTTGAAGTTAAATTTTGTATAGAAGGAGATCTAACCAGATGGCGCTTTGCCTGTTCTGCATAAAGAGTGTTAATTAAATTTTGATTTATGTACACTCCTTTCAACAATGTATTGTTAAAATCACAAACAAGCTTAAATGTCCTGCACAATGTTTTCCTTTTTAATTTAGCTATTATTTCATATTTGCTAAAAGAATTTTTTTCCATTCGTGGTAACCACTCCACAAAACATTTTGTCCTATTCAGTACTCTCTCCTTTTTTGAATTATCTGCTTCTTTTCTTAGTGCTTCTAAATCTACCTTTTGTTGCCAGTTCTTACAATTGTGGTTCACGATGTGGTTGACAATTTCACCTACGTTGGGACTTCGAACTCCGGATTGTAATGCTTCTATGAGGGGTTCATATAATGCGGCTTTGTTTTGTTTCAAAATGGGGTCGTCCTGATTGGCTATATTAGTTACTCTGCCCCGTAACCGCTTCTTCACCTTGTCGCATTCTTCTTTAAAATCATGCAGACGAACTTGCACAGGAATGAACGCCCCAGCGGGGGTGTGGTAAATCCACTCCCGTCTCAGCTCCTTACTTATTGGTAAGTGTGGGTGCTTTTCAAACATGTGGCACGGCTGCCTTCCTGTCGTGATGTCATTATCGTCATGGGGTTTGCTATTTGGTGAGGCCAGGTGGGAACAGGATTGTTTCCCTGTGTCCCCTCCGGAGGATTGCTTTGTACATTTTATTCCCCCCCCCTTCTGTACACTACTTTGCCAGCTATTGCTATACGTGTTTGCGGCACCACTTTTTGCATCACCCCTGTTGCGGGTATTAGACGTGTCCCTTTGTGCAATACTTTTGAGGTAGCTCATAAAGAGCTTTTCATTATCACTTTCCGTTTCGCTCCCGTGCTCGCTTCCTAGCAAGCTCGTCGCACGTTCCCTCAACTGATCCCCCACCCCCTTCCCCTTCGAACGACTTTCTTCTTCTTCCTCCCTCTCCCTCTGCTTAATTTTGTAAAAGTCGTACTCATCTGTCTCGAATAGAAGCTTGATAGGAAAATGCGGAATGGGTAAACTGAATGACCGGTCGTTTCCTTCATCCATAAAAAAGGACAAGAGGCAGACGTAAAGGCAACTCTCAGGGGGTGCAGGCGAAACTGTGTGAGAGAGGAGGACACCTCCTTTATATGTGTGCTTGGTCAGGCTCTGCTAAACGGGGGCACAAAAAAAAAAATAAAATAAAATGCTATCGGTTGAAGGGTGCAGGCTAAAGGTGCCAAAGGGGAGACCAACGCAAAGGAGTTTCTCTTCTGCAGTCTTCGTTCTCCATCTCACAAAATTTCGTATTTCCTACTCGCGCGAAGCGGAACGGGGGCGCCGGCCCACACGCAAAAAACAGGGCAAAAAAACAGGGCAAAAAAACAGGGCAAAAAAACAGGGCAAAAAAACAGGGCAAAAAAAGGCCACAATAAAGTGCCATGAAAGGGTGCGAACGAAGTCTCCCCTCCGCCGCTCAATCAAATCCCCATTCAGCGACGCGCCGGAAAAAATCGTGCATGAGAACAACCCATGTGTGGGGGGAGAGGGACAGCAAACACTAATGTGTGTACCTTTTTTTTTGTCACACAATTTTTTTTAAATACGCATTTGTTCCCCTTAACCTGTGTTGCAAAACTGGGCAGGAAGCCAAAAGGGGGGAGAGGAGAGCCCCCCCAGTGGTAGTAACACTCCTCCTTATTGGTGGCCAATATAAGCTGAGAAACATTTGACAGACGTGGGGCTCATCACTCCCCAAGAAGGATCCACCTGAACACACATTGGGGGGGGAGGAAGTACAACCCAAACATGAACACATAAAAAATGAACGTACGTTTTTGTATCCTCTTTCTCATATTACACTGCACTAATGGGAGACGTACCGCCTTGAGGGTAGTGCCTGAAGGCACAACTGCCTTTGTGAGGACAGCCCCCAAGAAAAACACCTTAACGAGGGACGCTCGAGTTTATAACAATGTAATGCGACTGGAAGGATGAGCATAGCGGCGAGTTGTTTTGAGCATTCCTATGGGTGCCGTCAGCGATGTGACCTCGTTAACACGTTTATTTGTTTTGTATTTTTTTTTGTATTTTTTTTTTATTTTTTTTTTTCCCCCCCCAACCCAAGTTAGAGAAAGTCAACACGCATATAAAAGACCTAGACATTTTAAACAAGTGGAAGGAAAACTACCACCTTCGAATAATTCTGAACTCATACTTTTCGGACCACCTGCAGAAGGCTGTTTTAAACGTGAAGGAGAAAATTAGCCAGTACCCACAATTCATCATTGCTGGCCCGATTCCTCAAAAGACGATAAAGAAGAGGTGACACAAACAGGGCGGTGTAACATCCTTTGTGCTACATCTCTCCACGTGTTTCGTTCTACCGTTTGCGTCGACTTACCCCACACGCACACACACACACGAAATTGATACCGCATGTGTACCTGCACACAGTGAAAGCCCCTCTCCCCTCTGCGCAGATTCACCTTCCTGAGGTCGCCCCACGTGGACAAGGACAGCAGGGAGCAATTCGAGATAAAGCAGTACGGATGTAAGCTAGACATTTTCCTCAACCCCTCTGTCACCTTGAAGAGCAACGAATGTAAGTGACGCCTTGTGGGGGAAGCGGGGTCGCGCGCAGTATTAAAAAAATGTCTACCCCATGTGCGTTACAAAAAAAAAAAAAAAGCAGAATGGCAAATCGTTCGAGCAGACCACACATGTGAACCAGATAAGTATCTTCCCCGTTTGCGTCTGTATAGGCGCCACACACAGACCACCACACGCGTCCTTGTTTTTTCCCCCTTCCCCTGTCCAGTCACGAACTTCCTGTCCGTGAAGCTGCCCCGGTTTGTGGGCTTTGAATACTACTTTGAAGAAAATTACAAAGGACTCAAAAAGGAGGAAGTGCAAAATTTAAAAAAAAAAAAATACGTCAGCAAATACTATACAAATTTGTTAAACGCCAAGGAGAAAAAAAAGATTGTGGAGTTGTTGTTGGAGAATTCAAAGTACATGAATGTGAGATTACCCAGAAACATGTATGACTTGTACAAATTCCCCTTACACATATTGCAGCACTATTACAAAAAGTAAGGCGCAAAAAAAAAAAAAAAAAAAAAAAAAATTACCCTATGGTGATGCTACTCCCTATGCGTGTGCCCATCCGGCGCGCCGCTTCATAACACCATGTGGAAATTAAAAACTTTCCCCCTGCCCCCTTTTTTGTAGAACCATGGAGAAGAAGAAGTGGTATCACGAGAATGAGGACTTGATGAAGAAGATCGAGTCCCTTTCATTCGAATAGTTCCAGTGCACAGAAAAAAAATGGAGTGCGAAATGGTTAACCGCGGTTGACTCGGTCACGTCGGCAGTTCTGTCCTTCGTGTGCCATTTGTCCTCCATCATCAATTTGCGAACCTTCTACTTTGTGCCCCCCTGGGTGTATCCCTTCTGAATAAAAAAAAAAAAAAGCAGCCTCAGCTGTAGCCTTAGTAACAAACTGCGCATTTATTGTGCCTGCAGCGTCATTCGTTGAAGCCCCATGCTGTTACGCCATGCAACGAGCACACGTGGAGAACAAAGCGGAGGGGGGAAATAAAAGAAAAAAACATCGCACGTGTGCACAGAAAAAATTTTTTTTTTTTTTTTTTTTGTTTACACTATATGGCATAGGCAGCGTGGTATCTTCGTTTGTTCCTCCTCACACATCAATCTCATTTTCAACGCCAACGTCAACCGCCTCGTCGTTTGTGTGTTTTTTTCTGTTTTGCCAACTTGGCCGGTCCACCCACACACCCTTCTAAGCCGCCCCCAAGTGGGAAATAATTTTTATTTTTACTTTTATTGGAGTCGTCCAGCCCATATCATGAAGGAGGAGACGCAAACGAACTACCACCTTTCTGTGAAAAATGTGAATTTCTTCAAAAGTGCCTTGGCCCTTTTAAGCGTAGATGATAATAAAAGTAACTCGGCCGTAAGGAGGAGTACAGGCAACCAGGGGGAGGTGGACAGTTGTATTTTGTTTAATCTGTTTGGTGATGGGTTAATGTTGAGGAGCTGGTCTAGGTGCAAACAAATATATTGCTTTCTGTTCCTCGACTCGGACTGCTTTACTAGCCACAGCATTTTGCATCAGCGGGAGGAGAGGCGCAGGCAGAGCATGCATGGGGAGGAGCGGCTTGTGGAGAGGCGTCGTAGAAGACCAAGTGATAGCTCCACAGGAGGGACGAATGACCCATGTGGGAGTCATCCTTCAAGTGCCTTGTCCGAAGGTGCATGCAGCAGAAGCCACACCCCCAGGGAGAAACGTTCCATACATGACTATACAAATGCGTGTATGGGGGAGGACAGCCACGAGGACGATACGAATAGTGTAAACTCAGACCATTTATACACTACCCATGCCATAAACATGGAGAGCAATAATTTAATTAAACTGAAGACAGTGTCTCCACTAAAGGTGAAACCTGCTCACAGTAATAAAACAGAAGATGACAATGAGGACGAATATTTTATTAGAAAAAAAATATATGAACAAATTGATGAGGATAAAAAAAAAAAAAAAAAAAATATGGAATTTCTCGTCTGCCAATACGAATTACTCAGAGCAGTAGAATTCTTAGACCCTGTCCTTTTAAACATTAAATTTGATTACAATAATCGCAAGTTAATTGTTCACCTGACTGATGAAGATGGAGACACATCTGAGACTTCTGTGAGAATCATTGTTGACCATTATTATGAAATAAGCAAATTAGAAAAATACACCTTTCTCCACAATGATTACAATTTCTTTTGCATGCAGTCCACCACTTTTTCTTTTTACCTGGACTACTTAATTAAGAGCAGCGATGAGTACATTACTTTTTATATAACAGAATATAACAACGATAGTACTGCGGTACTTAAAATGGTAATCCTAATTGGGGGGGGGGGGGGAAGAATTACATTTCATGCGCTGAAGGATGCAAATCGTGAAATCACCCCCCCCACACACACACATGCTGCCTAATATATATAACTACCTACCTTGCTACTCCCCGCAGGAAACGAAAAATAAAAATTACCAACGGTCCGTTCAGCTCATGCCCAAGGAGAACTTCCACGATTTTAAAAGCGAAAAAAGTCAAATGTACATTCATGGAAGGGGAGAGTGCGTTTGAGAGAGACGTGTGTGTGTGTACACGATTACTTTTACGCGTATACATCTGCACAGGTAAAACTTCCCACCCATATGTTGACCCCCTTTCGCAGATTCAAGTACCGAATAAAAGACTTGTCAAGGATTAACCAGGCACTCAGTAATTAGAAAAAAAAAAAAAAAAAAAAAAAAAATTCCCTGCTCACATATTACCCTCTCACCATCCCTAAATCGCCACCACGTAACACTCTGCTTGCCTTTCCACCTCGCTAGAAATAAGTTCCCACCTCAGAATGGATTTCCAGGAGAACGGACTGCTGCGCTTTCAGTTTACCCTCAAGTGAGTGCGATGCACTTTTGGTGGCGTATTCCTTGAGCAGATATGCTGACCCATGTGTTGCTGCCCATTTCTGGCGCACGCTCCTATATGGTCTCCTGCACATTGTCTTTTGTGTGTGCGTGTGTGTTTGTGTGTTTAACGGATGAGATGCGTCATTTGTATGTCCACTGCTTATTTGTTCAGCAGCGCACTAGTTTCGTAATTTACTTAGCAGCATATTCATATACTGTTCTTTTTTTCTTTTTTTTTTTTGTAAGGGAATACAACATGAACGGAACGCATTTGTGTTACTTCCTACAGCCCCTGACAGAAATGTCCCTTCTCAATTTTGCGTAACGTGGAAATGTGGCGATGAAAAAGGAAAATTAAAATAAAAAAAAAAAAGTGTTTTGTTGTAGTACGACATTGCAGGTGTTGTAATACCCCCCCTTTTTTTTTTGTGCCAAGCCACATGATCAGTCAGGGACACTCCCTTGTCGTGGCCTTGAGCGTTCCACAAAAAATTGACAAAAATGCAGAACGGGAAAACGTGTAAAGGAAACACACCTACTTCGCAAATGCTAAATGTACACACGGAAACGTTTACACGACATGTGAAGAAAAAAAAAGTGCCAAAATGAGAATTTCGACAGTTCGTTTATTCACCTTTTTTTTTTTTTTTTTTTTTTTTTTTTCCCAAACGGTATGGACATCGGAGGTGTCCACAAAGCAACGACATTTCCCCGTCCTCATTTTTTTTTCCCCCTTTTTTGTGAACATTAAAAATAGTTTTCTTTGTATGCAATTTTTTCCTGTTTAATCAATTGTGGGGAGAAGAAAAAAAAAAAAAAAAAAAAATCAATCGGCTTGAGTGAAACTCGAAAAAAGTGTTGCTACTTGTTCTACACCATGTTAAAATGCTTTTTTTTAACAGAGCAGTGGCGCTGTTTTTGTGAATTATATTCTTCGCTCGGATAGACCCCCACCGCTTCACCCCGCCACTTTAAAAGCCTACGTCTTATTCCTCCTCTGTACCTCATTGCTCCTCCATCCTGTCCATTTCCACTTAAATATGATTATGCTAATAAAAAAAAAATGAGAGATCATTTGAACAACAAGTCGCAAGAGTACCAGAAGCTGCTGCTATCAGGTGCGTCGCCTAGCCAAACAGTATACTCGTCTTTGCCCCCTTCCTAGACGAGACACAATATATAAATCTCCATACGAACATGTGCTCAATTTAAAAATTCACATGTTTATTTCCCCTTCGCACCCACATTGTATAGCGTCCATAAGGAGAGAGGCAAAACAGAATGAAGAAAATAACGATGCGAAAAATTACTCGTGTGGAAAGAGCCACAATAATAATTTTATCCTATACATGGAATTTAAATTCGAGAATATAATCCTGTCCAGGTATCTATTTGACATCAGGTAATTTGTGTAATGGCTCTTTGTGTTGTCCCCCTGGACGTAAAAATGTGAGAGGGGGGACCCCCACCCGGAATATGCTTCAAAATGATACCTTTTTTTTTTTTTTTTTTTCCACATAGCAGTGTCTAGTATGCCTAAAAGTGTGTACCCATAGAATGGCCCCATTTGGGGGACAAAATTTGGGTTTATGTATTTTTACCACACACCGGTGCTACGGCACTATCTATGCGCTGCCCCCCCCCCCCCCCCCGCAGGGATGAGTTGGGGACGCCGATCCGGAACAGCGTACAAATAACGAGGTTCATCATCATGAGGAGCGACAACCACATCATGGGCACGTGTGTATCCAACAGAGTCATCCTCTGCTACAGAAACGACAAGGAGACGAAAACTATACTCCACAAGCTCAAGGAGGAATTAAAAAGAAAATATTTCATAAGTCTAACCGATGAAAGAAATGAAGACACAAACGGTAATGAGATCGACAAGTCCCTCCTTTCATACATTATTCAATTTACTTTAGTATGTAAGTACATAGAGAGTGGGAAGTGGGTTCACATATGGGATAACATGAATACTATAGTTGAATCCAAATTTTGTGGAAATAATTCGAGTAAATATTTTAACTGTATAGGTTTTAAATTTGATATTTTAAATACGAATTATAAGGTGACTAGCCAAAAGAAGAATTGTATACATTTGGTGCAAATGCATTTAAAGGTTATGTTAAGTATGTATAAGATTCTTCCTGTAGTGGAAGAACAAATTTGTGAACACATGTTTGTATATTGCCTACCGCGGTGTTCCATGAGGGCTACCATTTTAAATGTTCAAGACATTTCAGATGCAACAGTGGAGAAACAAAATTTCAATTACAAGGATTATTGGCTTCACGTACACGGTTATGTGTTAAACCAAAATGCGCTGAAAAAAATTGTCAAGGTGAGACTCTACAAAGGAGTTTTTAATTACCCCCAAGGAGTTCTCCTAAGGGATAATATATATAAATTAAATATACCCATAAAAAATGAACCTTTTTTTTACGTCTGCCAATTTTTGAGTACTTTTGAATTGTTAAAAAAGGCACAAATGAATTTGTTGAAATGGTCCCAGTGTGATGATGCAGCAGGGAACAATATCTACGATGATCTTTTCCTACCTCACAATAGCATTGGAGTAAGAAAGGAACAGGGGGATGGTCAGGATGATTCAGAATTTTACTCAAAACTGAATCGAATTTGTAAACACCAATTTGAAGGGAACAATTTTTCTCAATCCATTTCGCAATCAAATAAAGTACAAAAGACATACGACAATTCGTACCACATGTATGGAAATACTTTAACCACCTCAGGGGTTTCAATCAACTTGGACTTTTCGAAAAACAAAAAAAGTGGTAACGGAAAGGACTCCTGTAACAGCGAATTGGATACCTTCCTCAAGGAGTCTGCCTTGGCCTACTACGCAAGACATGCTAACCCATTCAATACAAATGACCTGACTCACAAAAACAAACAGCAAGACACCACAGTAGTGCATATAATGGATAATCAGCACCGCCAAGCAGCGAAGACAAGGGCACAAATGGAAGAAGCTTACACGGTGGGGAATCCACACCAAAGCAACAACCAATTGGACACATACCTACACAACGTTGCAAAGAGTTACAACTCCGTGGAGGAAAACAATGCCGATCATATGACCGAGGTTAGCATGCTGGGAAAAGTAAACCCACAAATTATTTTTTCCAAAGATTTTGAGAATTTTCTGGACAATCTAGATGAGGCCGCGCTGTACCAGCAGGAGCCCCTACTAACCCAAGTGAATTTTGACCAGCGGGAAGGGAAGCGGCCCAATTTTCCCATGACCAGCCCGCCACTTGGCCAGCAGAAAGATTACACGCAGGGGTCATGAAGACGCGCAAAGTGACGTGTACAGCGTCGCTATCAATGGGAAAACTAATCTTACCCACAACGCAGCAATGGCCAAGTAAGCGTGCTACAACATTCTTAAGGCCCATGCTTTCTTCCATGCGGCTTTACGCATGTACGGATGATACAGGTATTTCTTGTGCGGCAATTCTATGATATATACAGCTGGTAATATTATGCTACTTGTAAGTGTTTTATTTTTATTTTTTCTTTTTTTTGTACAAAAAATGTAATTTTTTTTTTCCTTCCCGGGTCATGAGTGCCCATCGCTGTGTTTTACTTTTTTTTTTTTTTTTTTTTGTTTTCC